ATCCCACGAGAGTAGATCTTGAGCCATGGTTTATTTGTGGTACTGTTTTTCTGTTCTTGAGTCACCACTATGTACATTTGTTAGCATGAATGATGTACCTAACGTGTTATTTTTAATCTAAATTTCAATTAAAATGTGAGTTTTCAAACTTTAACAGGAGTCTGACTACCTTAATTCAAACATATTGGACAAGTTGAGCCACAACAGGGTAGCTTTAATTGTAGCTTCAATAGCATTTAAGATCCCAGCCCACTGATGTTGTTAGTGTTTCAGATTTCCATCTGACTTTAATTATTACCACTTCCTGATCAAAAAGTATGTGATCTGAAATTGTAGCTATGTGTTATATAGTATGGTTCCATTAAAGAGACTTTCTGGTTGAATATATGTCTGACAAATGGTTTTTCATTTTGCAGCTGAAGCACTGCAGCTCCTTTCTCATGAAAAGGGGCAGCGAAGGATGTAAAACAAATACTGCTTAATCACACAGACTTTTAAAATGGTGTTTGACACCATTTCACCTGCGACTTGACACACACTAGAGAGGTTGTGTATGGTTCTCCAAGCACGTTTAGAGGCAGAACTGGGAGTAAGGCTTCCAGTATTTTAAAGTCAAATCAGGATGTCACTTTTGTCTCATAGTTGCTATGAGTCCATTTCTATGAAACTTACATATAACTAATTGCATTTAGTTTCAATAACACTTCTAGCAGTTTCTAAACTTCCAAGTAGCAGCTCTTGGTTAAAACTTGGAGCATTTAGAAACGTACAGCCCAGAAGAAGTTAGGGGATAGCTGCCACTCAATGCACTACCACGTTAGCCATCTTTGTGGATCTCAAAGCAGGTACAGATACAGCAGTTATTCTACAAATACAAAACACTGCCGAAAGAAATTACAAAGTACTGGTTTGTATAGCTAAAAATACTACCTCCCTTTTTCAGCAAGGTTAGTGGAGCTGGCAGTAGGGAACGCAGAGTTCGAGTCCCCAGTTGTGTGAATTATTACAGACTTCTGTGTTCTAGTAACTTCCTCCCCAAGCTCCAGCTAGGTTTAGACCGGTGATGCAATGAGAATGTGAATGTACATTATTAATACCAGAGGAACAAATACAACGATGTTGTCTTGCTCCTGTGATTCACTGAAAGCTTGTTTTCAAATAGATGCCTTTTATTTGGTTTGTGGTATATTCTTAACAGTGAAATTCTGAGAGCAGAGGAACTGGAGTCCCTAACCAGCTTTAGATATCACACAAATGCAGCAGGATCAGTAATTTGGTCTATCTGATAAAGAAAAAAAAATAATTCCAAACCTAATCAAACTATTCTGATCACTTGCCATTGCTCTCTTACCTTGGACAGGAATTATCACCCACGGCCCAATCCAGCATATTCACTTTTTTCTCTAAAACATCTTTGCACAGCAAAGACAACAGCCCTGCACTGCAAAATGGCAATGCGTGCTTTGGCCCAGACAACACATGACTGTTTAATTAGGCTGTAAACACTGTAAAACCTACCTGCGGCGCTGTCACTGGAAATGGTGGCAGAGCAGACGGTGCCGCAGAGGCGTTCGTGGTCAGAGGCAGCTGGGTTCTAAAATGGCCAGGGCTCAGCCAGCATGACCGGCCCGGCTCTGGCTGCACCCGTTGGCAGCAAAGCTGAGCGAATGAGCCGCTGGACGCTAAAGCAGGCTGTGTTTTCAGGCCTGCAGCAGGCCGCTTCCAAGCACCCTGCCACTTCCTAATAAACCTCCACCTTCACCACCAAAAACCAGTCTCTAAAGTTTCCCTTCTTGAATTGTGGGTGCAAACAAGTAAAACCCGGTCTTCTCAGCACTTGGTACGGCAGCTCCTCTGGATTGAGGTGTGCAGTGAGTGTTTTGACAGATGGTAAAACAAACGAATTAAAAGCACTGTTGTTTGGTGTAATCACTATCCATTCATTCAACAAAAAGCACACTTTGGATGACCCATATATGATTCCATTAAACAGCTGGACAATTAATTTCTTATTTTCCCAGAACAAAATGTATGGCAGCATGATCCACAGTTCATACTTCCCAACAGCACATTTTTTAATCCTCAGTAGTGTGTGACATGGTATCTAGTTTAATCCTAGCATAAAGTTAAACTAGTATTCTGCTGCTGAGGTAAAAAACCTGCACCACTTCTTCTTTAAGTCCTCCTGATCTTTCTGCTGATAAGAATAAAAGCTACTTGCAGACATAAAATTAATTTGTAGGGGGAAAAAAAGGCACAAACTAATGCCTTTTCCTTGACAGAAATACCTTTCCAGAAGTATCACTTTAGCATCTTTAACTGCTGTTCTCTTCCCTGTGCTGTTTCCTCTGTGTGTGCATGCCTCCCCAACTTTGTGCTTACAACTTCTTGAGGAGAACTAGCCGCAGCAAGCCAGAGGAATTATCTCCCCTCAACAGCACTCAGCATGTGTAATAATTCTAACCATAAAACATGACTGGATCACGCTGCACCACTGTGCTTACCATTTACAAGCAAGTACAAAAACTGTTCCTTTAGTCCACTGCCACTGCCATCCTCAATCTGTAAACTACAAAGAAACAGATCAAGTTGACAAAGAACTCACTACTAAATGATGCATGCGTGTGCAACTGCCTCCAAAAGCTCACATCTGCAATCTCCCAAAATAATCCCGACTGTACCTCAGCACACTGTTCTCTGCATTGTGCATCTGCTAACATGACCATGTCACAGTGGTCTCAATGACTTTGCTTTGCCTTGCAAAGTAAACCCAGAAATAAATTCAGTACTCGAGGGCAGGTGTTACAGTTGATATTATATGAAAAAGACTGTGATAGTGCCTAAAAAAAAAAGAAAAAGCAAGACACAGCAGTGATATAGAAATGTCAATTCATAGGCAGAAATTGGGAAAATAAACACTAACAAATCATCGCCGTCCTCAGCAACTTCGTTTTACTTTCAACAGTGTTTTGGGATTCACTTAATACCCGCAGAGTTTGTTTCAGTAATGACAGAACTTGTTTCAATTTTAACCCTCCTGAGTTTACAGCACAACAAAGTGGGCTGCAAGTGTTGAGTTTTCTAGTAACAGCTGACAGACTAATTCTCAATACCCTAATGTATTATTTTGATAGTGGACATTTTGCTTCCCCATTTCAGAAGAATGACAGCATTTATATACAGAACTATAAAAATCAAGTGAGACTTTTACATAGATCATCCACCTTGCACGTCACCCTGACTGTTAGAAGAGAAATCCCTATGTTGGTCAAAACTATACAGAGCAAAACACCCAGGAAAAAAGTCTTTTTTTTATTCTATGACACTGTGTTAATACAATAAATATACAAAACTTCTGAACTACTCGGACATGCAACAGAGGGACAGAAGTGCATTTGTACAGAACCATAACATTCACTAGGACGGCAGAGCATTGTTAGTAATTTACAAAATATACAAACATCCCTCAGATAAATAAAACCAACTCCTAAATTACAGATCAATGACTACTGACACTCCAGTGTTTAAACTTCATACGTTGTACTCATTTCCCACAATACTACAAAATGACAACATAAGTGGGCGCCATACTCTAATTAATAAGAGACTGTAAAAACTGACTAGGTTTTGTTAGGTACAAAATGTTTTAACAAATATCAGCCTTCCGTTGTCAAAGCTAAACTCAAACTTCTCCCTCCCTTTTGGGCGACCAAGTACCAGAGATTTCTGGTTTAAACAGTTCACGTGTAACTGAGCCCTGAATTTCACTTACAAGGTTTAAATCCAGACATTCGACCCATGACATTACAAATCAATGCTCCCTATACATAGAGGATTAAACATGTGTTCTCAAAGGGCCTTTAAACATTTGGGAAAAAAAATCTACCTGCCAAATTCAGGTTTTATTCCTAATGTTTTTTTCCATAAAGTATTCTGGTAATGTATGTTACTATGCAATCTTCAACTTAGGTTAAATTGCAAGGATGATGTCCCTGGGATTTCCGTCCAGGAGATATACCAAGAGAACTGCTTAAATTTAGATTTAAAAGTAATTCATAGTAGAGCTCCTAGATACCACCTTCAAATTAAGTTAAAAGAAAAGAACAATCTTGATATACAGCTGCTAGAAGGACGATGACTGATCTCAACAGAAAATGGTGGCTTTTATCTGGAAAGCTTTTAGTAACATTCCACACAAATATAAGTTCAATGCTAGCAGGTCCACTAGCATGACATTTTAGAGCCCCTATTACACAGAATATTTAAATCGCTTTTAACTTCATGATGCAGAGAACATTTAGAAGCAAGTATATTCATTAATATGAACTTCAGCATAGGTGAAACTATGACATTTATCCAAATTGAAGTTGAATTTAAAGAAATTAGTAAAACAAACGAGACTAATAGGGACTTCATGCTAACAGTGCAATACCGATCCAGGGATTAAGTTACGGGTTTTATTTTCTGTAATGGTCTTCTGTTATTACGAATACAGCATAGCAAAAAAGAATCTATGAAAGTGGGTCCACATTCAGAACACAGAGGCGCCTCAGAATTTTATACTGTCTTACTAAAGGGGATGCACCTTAAGAGCTGAATTCATTTCAGCCACAGTGTATAGTTATACAGGCTGTGCGATGTGGTCCTTCCCGTTTGAATTTTCTAAAACAGAGTTTGAAAAAACAGCCCAAGTATTGTGCATAAGACTCATGAGGCAATCCAAGAATGTAAATAGTTTTCAAAGGAGAGAAATGTGACATCATATTTAGACCAAATCATGTTCTAGAATATTGTGATAGTATGTACCATTATGGATTGTTCAGTTCTACAGCACCAATTTAACCTCTTAGGCCTCCAGTTCAATGAGTTAAAAATTAAAGATGAAGATTTCTCACTTTTCCAACTCAAAATAGTTTAAAAGCTTTTTTCCCCAGCTTAAATCACATCACAGAGATGGCTGAGTTAATGTTAAAATGCATTCAAGTATCTGCTAAACGCCATTGCTCAAAAACCTTGGGTTTAGACAGTATTCCTGTTACAAAATTAAAATACTGTATATTTAGGTTTTGGGACAAGCAGTAAACAGAGTGATTGACTAGACTAGAGATCTAGTACCACTGTTAAACACAAATCTACACTTAAAAAAAAAGGACAAACCCAAAAGAATCCCAAATTCAACAAAAATAGCACTGCACGTAGAAGAGGGAAGGAGGGGCAACAAACTAGTGTTCTAACAGTCAATATTGGTTTCTTTTCCAGCAAAATTATGACCTCAAGACATGAATGCTGAAATTAAAAATAGCAAATATATAATCATTTAGCTCTGGGATTGAAACCACCAGTTAACTTCCTTAAACTGTACACTGCATTACGGATTCTACTACAGAGAATGTTTATGCGCCATAGTCATTTCTCACAGGTAAAGAATACTCCATGAAAATAGATACAAACAAACGCTATTATTATAAAGTGGCGCAAGTAAATTCTGGACCAAAACACTACTTAAACAAGATCAAATAACTCAACAGTACTCATGCAAACTTACAGGTTTATATCAAAAGACTTATCCTAAAAAAAAAAAACAAAAAAAAACAAAAAACGAGAAAAGAATTTACGGTATCTACCCTACTTGTATTTGTTCTCCAATAGCTGCTGAAATTGCAAAAGCAGTAGCCAAACATAACTGTCTACATCTCTCAGTCTACCCCATTTCTTACGGTAGAGAAAACAGTTCTTACAAAGGAAAATAATTGATCCAAAGTGCTTTCCTGAAGTTAAAAAAAATACCAGAGTGAGCCACTAGAAAAACCTTCCTAATTCTGAATATATTTATTTGATCATTATATACCACAATTCATTCTCAGACCAACTGTTGAAATTATTCATCCTCCATAAAATACGGAAGGCTTTATATTCTAGAATGCAACATCTTAAAGAAGGGCAAAGAATGGTTATATTTTTAAAATAAATAAATTTATAATAAAATAAACCAAACATTTCCCATTTTACCCACGCACAGCTGCAGAAGAGACAAACATGCTGTGTAAATTTTGATCTAGGCTTGTAGGTAATATAATAAGTGACTGGAAAATAAAGCACAATCGAAGAGAACCATGATGACTTTTCAGGTTTCCCTACATTCGGTTACCCTTGAATGCATTTTGAGCTGCACTGGTTGCTGCTGTTGATGCGGCATTGGCTGCAGCGGTTTGTACAGTCTTGTTGGACATCACTCCCGTGGCAAACTCCTGCTGCGCTTTCTCAAAACTAGCACCAGTCGTGCGGTAGAGACCGTGCACCTAGGGAGGTGGGAAAGCAGTGAAAATACAGTACTGAGCCTTCCATTTCTTGGCAGACTCTCAGCAAAGTCTCAAACATGAAGCAGCGCTGTGTAGTGGGGAAATCCCGTTTGCTCACGTGTTTGCGAGGATCCGGAAATGAGTAAACGGACTTTTGATCACCCTGCTGCAGGCACAGTTTGACTGCAGGAATACCTGTAACTTTTTGCAAGTTCAGAGGGGTCTCATAAGTCTTCACTGAAACGTATGCAGTATCTACTGTCTGAAATAATGCATTAAAGTACACAACTGGATGCATCCTTAGCATAACACGGGGCTTGTATCTTGCAAAAATGTCTTCTGTCTCATTTGTATACAACTTTTTGAACTCATTAAAAGAGCTAGTAAGTGTCCATATTGAAAAAACAGCAGGAAACAAAACAAAAAGAGTAGTTTTGAATCCACTGCATCAATAACATTTTGGTGAACTTTTTTCTACTCCAGTTTTTAGAAATATTTTAATTACTCTGATTGATATGGTTACAAGAACGAGCTAAGCTATGACTGAATATTAAAAGCTATAAAATATCCTAATAATGCAGATATGTATCTGCTAAACTAGTGTGATGACCAATAGCTCTGCATAATAAGCAGAGGGATTAAAGAGCATGACTTACAAACACTCTAAACAATATGGTCTATGATCTCTGGTACAAGAAAAGAAACTAAATCCTGAGTAACTTCCAATTACCTGAATATTAAAATCAAAATGCTATTTCTGACTCCTATTCAAACAAGTCACAATAAAGTTGTCCAATAATATTGCAAAGACATTTTTCATTCAAGCGCAGCAGGAACCATTACTTGTAACTTTTCTTTGTTACAAATGCGATCTCACTCATCCATAAAGATACACCAGGTCGCATCTGAGTATGCAGGTTTTTGAAAATAATCCAGATGCATATGGTAGGAAGGGTGTAAAAAAAGTGCTCCACCATGCATTTTTCTTGCTTGTTTCTTTCTCCTGTACGTAAGTATTTATGCAGAAAACAAATAAGGAGAAGGGACACCTCTAGGCAACGCTTAAAATTTCTAGCTTACTGTCAATAGGCCAGAAGAGTTTGAGTATGCGAAAATCTTTAAGGGTTTACTGTAACTGAGGTTGAATTATTAGAATTGCCAACACATCAGCAGCAGAAATCTCAGTTACATTTTATCTAAACACCAAAAACCTACTAGTACATTAGTATCTAATCTTAGGTCTTCTAGATGGAAATGTACAAAAAGGAACCAAGGTTAAAAAGCATCTTTCTTTGAGCTTTCGTGATACACAATCACTAAGTGGCAACAAAATGTTACAATAATACAAACAGAGAAATAAAAACCCTTTTCTGAGGTTCCAGGCATCTCCCTCTTCTATTGATTTTAACGGGAATGACTTTGGTAAGAGCTGAAATTTAGCAATCATTTCAATCACACTTCACTCAGCCTGATGAATCACCACAAATTTGAAAATCACAACCTGGCATCTATAAGTACAATCATAATAACCAGGGCATTACCGACCCTTTCATTGTGGGCTCACCTCCCAGTTTCTCTGATTCAGAGCTATCCTTCCCCATTTTAGTTTGCAGAAAATACGTGCATTGTACAAACACCATTTAGTAGCTCGACAACAGTATAAGCAAAAAAGTAGTTGTTAATAGGTAAAACACACTCCCAATAATATAATTTAATCCCCATTACTTTGTGAGAGAGTACCTCTCTCAAGCAGGAAAGCAAAATCCAGATCAAACATAGGAAACAGAAGAAGGGAATAATATGTAACTTACCTTTTTGAACATAACTAATGAGATAACAGCAGATGCTGTGAAAAGTGCAGCTATGATTATCATCATAATGCCAACAGGAATACTCTTGTTAAGTCCAGTAAGAGATGAAATCCACCCACTGAAGGAAAAAGAAAGGACAAACTTTACTAGCACAGCACATGAACCACTCAACCAGAGGTAGCCATATCAAGGGAAGCTTTATAACCTCCTGGTTCTGATTGACTTCAAACATTTTTGCAAGAAAAAGTCATGTGAATTTTACATAAGCATACGTTGGTTCTATAACAAGCTTTTAGCGCTTAGTTCCCATTCTTCCCCTTGCATGCAGTGAAACTATATGAAAAAAGCTAATAAAGATGATTATCCTTGAGCAGAATTGTGAAGAAATTAGAGAGCTGCTCATCAACTTTTTTTTTTTTTGGTCATACTGTCATTTCAGACTGATTTAAGACTACACAGTTTCAAACTGAAAGAGGGGAGATTCAGATTAGATATTAAGAAGAAATTCTTCACTGTGAGGGTGGTGAGGCACTGGCAGAGGTTGCCCAGAGAAGCTGTGGCTGCCCCCTCCCTGGCAGTGTTCAAGGCCAGGCTGGATGGGGCTTTCAGCAGCCTGGTCTAGTGGAAGGTGTCCCTGCCCGTGGCAGGGGGGTTGGAACGAGATGATGTTTAAGGTCCCTTCCAACCCAAAACATTCTATGGTTCTATGATTTCGTGGAAGAGAAAATGTTCCTAAAAAGACAGCTTCTAACTTCTTTAAATATAAAAAAACCCATCACACGCAGCTTCCATGTGGGAAGACTCATTTAACTGTATCCACACAGAGATGCTTTCTCAATTGAGGTTAATATGGTAATTTTTTGAAGTAGATAACATCAGATTAGCTAACAGAAAGGACTGCTATATCAGTATCCACTTCAAATATCTTCTCATTCTTTAAAATTGGAACACCAACAGAAAAATACAATATCAAACTTGAAACCACAAAAACAAGTTGCCTTAAGAAAAATAAAACATTAAGATGAAAAAGATTCTTCCACAGAAAAAAAAGCAAAAAATTTCTATAAACCCAAACAATCTTGTAACTTTTCTCTACCTGTTTCAAATCGCTTTGATATATCCCTAATGTCCAACTGCACTCTACCACAAAACTCCAAAATCCCAACTGTAATTAGCATTTTCTGACAATCTGGTTACTTTTCATACCCCTTCCCCAAGCATCCATAATAGCACACTCCACATACTTGGAGAGCTGGCCCTCTAAAATACTTTTTTATTTGGTTAGTGTCAATCAATGTGACTATGAAAAACAGCAGACTCCAGCTACCAGCTGGCTACTACAACCATGCTTTTAGTTAAAACAAGTGTGCTGGGGTTTTTTCCCCAAGGACAGTAACTGATTCCAAATAGCTTTTTCTTATAAAATCTAAATATTAGACCTCAAAGGTTCAATAAAAGCTTCTTGTAAAAGCTTATATACTTACAAGCTTCAAAAAGAAAAATCAACTATTACAGAATAAGGAGCTGTCTTGGACAAATGAGCTTTTCAAAAAGACATCAAAGATATCCCACCATCTTCACCTGAATACATTGTTGACTCATTCTTCAAATTTTAGCTATATATTTCCTTAAAAAGTAGTAAGTCCATTAAGATAATTAGAATCAACCAATGATAGAAAATAATATGCAAACAGTATATTATTACTGTCTAAATTATTTTCATTTTCTCTAAATTTTGGTTATGTCTTTATCTTAAATATCGAGCAAGTAAGTTCTCCACACTCCACCAAAACAGAGGAGTTAGTGTATAAAAGAACAGTTCAAAGTGGTTTACACTGAAGGATAAAATTTCGACCAGCCTAATATAACAGAAGTACCTCACACTCTTGAGATATATTTCATCCACTTTTCCTAGGTAAGAGCACTCACAAAATACTTTTTTTGAGCGTTGAATGCAACAATTCCACTGACCACAGACTGTATTGCAGTTGCTGTATCAAATATGAGTGTTTGTCCTACAGACAGTACAACGCTATAGCAAACAGAATACTCACCAGTTTCCCCATCTTTGAAATCCTGCAGCTTGGAGTACATGTACAGCAAACTGACAGATATATACAAAGAAGAATACAAAGAACCTGAATGAACTGTCACTCCTGAAAGAGGGGGGGAAAAAGATTAAAGCAGCCAGGAAATTAATAATTTTTGTAAACACTGTAGTACCAATTTATTTTTTTTTCTGCATTAACTAGAGGAAAAGTGTTTTCATTTATTCACAGTGACTTGAAGTATCAGTAATTCTGTGGGTTTGTAGAGTGAGCTTTTTCTTTAATACAGTATTTTTGCCACCTTCACCTCTAACAGCAGTAAGAACAGCAGCAAGATACTATTTCTTAAGTGTTCTGTTCAGTACACAGAAGGGTCTTTTAAACTAAAAACAGAAGTTTTGCTACAATGCAGGAAGAACAGAATTCTGCTCCACTTTCAGACTAAGTTCACAGTGCTGGCAGGATGGGAAGAAAATATTTTACTTGTAAAAGGAAATAAAATCTACTATGGAATTAGTGAAACACAGTGCAGACCAGAATACTGAGGCAGCTGTTGCTTGAAAGCAAAATATATAAAATAGGTTTGCTGTTTAAATCATGAAAGTGCCAGCCTGACAAATACTGAAAGTATTGTTTTTAAAAAAAAAAAGGGGGGGGGAGGGGGCAAAATCTCAACAAAGACCCCAACTTATTATCAAAACTAATGATAGTATGATAAGCTTGGTACCAGAGTTCTAAAGAAAGTAGAGATCATTTAGTTAAGTCACAGAATCAGATTTTGCCATTAATAGCTCTTCCTGCAGAAAGGAGTTTGTTCATTTCTATGTATTCAACCAGTTCAGCTGAAGAACTCTTTCACTTCCAGCTGCGCAACTGACCAAAAATTTAAGCTCGTTTTCCTTTTCCAAACAATCAATATTCAGTAAGAAAAGCTACGGATTTACTAGACAGCAAATGCAAGTTAAACTATATGATTCCTCAAAATTATGTGTGGCTACAGCAGTACCTCCTTGGTTAGCAAAAACAAACATCTCATTTAGTCTAAAGGTTACGCTTTCTGGCCACCAATCTTCTGCAAGAATCAGTGCATTTTAACCAAGAATATCCTGAATCACTTCAATGTAAAAAAGTATTCCCACGAAGGCCTGTAAGAGTATAGGATTTAGAATCTCTACATGCTGATTTTCACCCCCCCAAAAAAGTTGAATTTTGCATGCAAACCAACCATTCCATTCTGAAACACAAACCTACCACACCTCATGCTTCTGAAGTCTGCAAAGACTGCTAAAAGCTAGGAAATTAGAGAGTTTCATTATGATATATCTGCTCAACTCATTCTTAAGAACCTCAGTCTGCTTCAATTACAGACACTGTACGTCACTTAACAATATAAGACTTTTAAAGTGCAGAGTTTTATGAAGTTTGTTCAGGAAGCCAAAAACTTAAGACACTCTTCAACTATTAACCTACTCAAATTCTTGGTATGAAGGGACAGAGATTTAATGAGAATCTTCCTTAAAATTGTTACCAGCCCAACACAAAGTTAAGTATTTCCTACAAGTATTTCATCAATGGTAGAAGCTATAAATACTCTAAAGGATATTCCATAATATTCCTAACTATTGCCATCTATGTTTCAAATTCAACAACTGAATTAATGGCAAACATACTACTTGTTTCTAACGAAAGCATATTAAAGGAGTATCATAATGATAATCAAGCAAATTCTGGAATGTTAATGCATTTCAACAAGTTTTTAAATATCCTAAGTCAAGCTGAAGTTGTTACCTGAAAGCTCCATAAAGTGGTCTGTACCAGCAGACAAAAGAACAAGGGGTAAAAAGCAAGAACCAGAGAATACTCAATCCAAAATCAACCCCTCGTGTAGCATCAACGTAAAACCAGGCCAAACATCCAAAGATATTAAGAAACAGTGTCACTGTATGGACTGTAGAAGCAAAAGCAAAACAGTCTTAATTAAGTTATATTTATACAACAGATTATTACAACTATTAAAGTACTACCCAGACTGAGCATTTTATTACAAAACATCAGCATGTTGACAATAAATCAATACCCTGATCAGCAAAAAGCTGATTTTTATAGTTTTCCAACTTTCAGGTAAACCCTGTACTCACAAGTGAAAGTACCGAACATGAAAATTCAAGTACTATCAGCTATATGGTGAAGGAAAACACCCTGTCATAAAAATAAAAGATTTTCACAGTGACAAAAAAAGTGGTTTCTACAGCTGCAATAATTGATACATTTTCCACAGTAATAACTGGATACAGATATTTAACAGACTACTTAATTTTTAGAGAAAGCTTATAAATGATACAAAATGCATCATAAATTTAGCACTGCACACATTCTAGTTTGAAAATAAGAATTTAAAAAAAAAAAAATCTTTCAGCCAAAAGCACTTTGTCTTTCATGTAACAGAGCAAGAAAACCCCACTTAGTAAAAACTTTTCTCAGTAACACAAGATCTGCAAGAAGCTGTTCCAGACACATTAATACATATTTCATATTCAAAGACTTCTTATAACATTCGTCTAAAACATCTGCCTTTTTGGTGCTCCCTTCTTAGCTCAATACTAGTGTTTTGGCAGACCTTTTTACAGGTTAACTATTGAACTTCTCCTAAAGAAAACACATTGGCATTACAACTTCACAGTTTATTTCAAATATATTTAGTTCTTGGAACAGAAAAAGATAAAGCAGTATTAAGAAACATTACAACTATTTCCTTCATGCTATCTGGCAGAGAAGTTAGTTCTGCCAGACTTAAAAGATGAACATGAATTTCTGTCTTTGTTCAGCAATAACCAGTGATTCAGGAGTGATTTTGCTATCTCAGAGAACAGCTTCTGTCCTTGTGGACCAGGACAAGGTAGAGTATTTATAACTGAGAGTGCACAAGCTGCTCCTTGCAGCAATGGTTTTCTATTTAAGTTCAGAGAAACATTTGAGTCATTCTACTGGAAGGTTAATAGAAGAAGTGGCAGGATAAGAAAGATTCTGAAAAAAAGAATCCTCAAACTCTTTGCTGTCCTCTTAACTAGTACCTAAATAAGCCCTAAATCAACTTAAAGGGAAAAAATCTTTAAGCAAAATGCCCACATCATTGCATGAAAGGTTGATGAAACTCAAAACACTTCCCTCAGACAAATCATATTTTCCTCTAAGAGTGACCAGAAACAGAGAAATAAAAAGCATTTAATGCATCTACATCTCTTAGCACTGTTCCAAGAGGTCTGCAAAGCACCTCATTTCAGAATTTTGAGTGTATGCCTCATAAAGCACAACAAAGGATACAAATCCAAACTCCTGCCTTCCTTTGTTAAATACAAGAAAGCTTACTAAGGGTATTCTTTCTTTTTCTAGTCAATGCTAGAAAACAGAGAGAACCCCTAATTACCAGAAACCTCCACATGCTGCTGATGAACTTTCCGAAATTACTACTTATTTTGTAATTGCAATTACGATAACAGAAGAAATGTTTAAAGAGTATCATCAGTGCAGGAGAGTGCTGAAACATCAGACCCACTACTTAGACTTATTAGCATAATAAAACCAGCAACATAGGGGTCTACTTCGCTACTGCCCTGGAGAATCTCAGCTGTAAAAACAGAGTATTAGCAAGCTACAGACGAAGACAAGGGACTTCACTGACAATTCTTTCCCCCTTTACTCCACTCGCCCTTCTCTCTGTGTGCTGCAAGGTACAGAAGGGCATTTGTTCTTTGGGCCAACACCTTCACTAAGTGACCCACATAAGCCTTGCTGCTCTATGAACAGACAGGTGTTTTTACATTCAGGATAACCATTTTAAGTACCTCCAACTTACTTGCCTCTTCAAATTAAACCATGATACATGTTATTAGAAAGTAATGACCACCTGGGGGCTGAAATGACCTAAAGCTTTGGCAGAAGTCTCCAATGAGCAATGTCTATATGACAATAGCTTCACAGCTGTAACAAATACAGTGCTATGCCAATACAGTACTCAGTATGAAGTGACCTAAGAAAGCCTTCTCCTAGTTTAGCTGTGGAAGCAGTGGAGGTTAAAAAAAATAATTCATGCCAGAGTAAGAGTGAACAATGGGAAATTACATTAGTTTAATAAATATCTGGACTCAGCTGCATTTTTATTAGTGTAAATTGCCTTGTACAGAAGAATCCTACTTAGATATACATTCCCTGTCTTAACCAGACTTTATTACCCTTTAATGTTTGAAAGTGAATTGTAGATGTAGATATAGATGTCAAGTTGCACTGATGCTATTTGGCATCCACATTATTGAGAGGATTATTTTGCAGTCCTATCTGGGACTGTATGAAAATAAGATTTTTGTTGTAAGTTTAACTTCAGTGATGTTTTATTGATGGTATTCTCAGGAAACCAAAGTTCTCACCAGCACACATGACAAAAGACTGTGTTTCTTCCCAGGAATCAGCTGGACTGTCACCCTGTAATGGACTGCCTCAAGGAAACTCCTCAAAACAGAGGGTTTTGAAGCCACAAGGTAACTCACAAGTGAAGACAAAGATGGTGAAGTTCGATCACACACAACCTTGGAGCAGAGTGGCTTCAAATGTAGTGGCTTTTGTTCCTTGTCTGTTCTGCTCATTTTGGAGAGGGGGTGTGAAAGACATGTGCAAACATGCCTTACAAATAACAGAAGTATTTTCCATAGGAAAACTGAAAGATGAACACATAAAATAAGCACATGCTATAAAAAATGTGAAGATTTTTTTTTCTCTACATAGTACGTTAGGTCTTCAGCTAAAATATTGGACACAGTCCACACTGTAAAATTCTTGATGCCACACACTAAAAAACCATAATAATTTGGAGTGGACCAAGCAGCAACCAAACAATCAGACCTCTAGAAAGAGGTCCAAAGAAAGCCTGAGTAAACCATGCTAATTTAGCCAAAAGGAGATGACTAATGAGGATAAGTGTGTTCTCCATGACAACAGTGGACAGAATAGGGAGGATCAAACACAGGAAAGCAGAATTAAATTATATACTGAGAAACATCTTGTGATAAAAGACAGCAAAACACTAGAACAGGCTTGGAAGGAGCTTATGAAGTGTCCACCCTTGGAGGTTCTCAGGAACAGGCAGAACAAACATCAACATAGACTGGAATATGTATTACTGATTGTATCCCCAGACAGAACAAAAAAAAATAGCATAATTTTTGGCACTTTAGGGTATTATTTTTCTACCAGAGTGTACAGTTTAAGTCATTGGTCTTTGGAAACCTTTAAAAGTTTTGTTCATAGAAAATGGAAACATTCACAACCTATATAAAGTAACAAACTCATATGCCACAAAAGCCTTCCATGAAATTACGCAGCTCTTCAGGTTATAACTTCAAATAAGAAATACTCTTTGAAAATCAGTACTGCTCATTTTGTACATGCTAACAGCCTGTGAGGAAAGTAGCTGGAAAACATAGGCTTTTGAGCCAAAAAATTTTTTATATTAGATACGGGTCAAGAGACATGGGACATTTCACAAGTAACAGCACAGAAAGATCTAAACAGTAGTGCTCAGTGCTAAAAAACTGTCAGGAAAACTGTCATTCTACCAGCAAGCCACTAAAACAGCAATGGTCACAAAACCAAGATAGAATAGAAAAACTCCACTGACAGCTGACAAAAGTCATTGCCAATTGATTACTGTAGTTGACAAAAACACAGGAGCACTCAGTCAGAAAAAAAAAAAAAAAAAAAAAAAAGGCTCTCCCCAGGGGAAAAAACAACCAACCAAATATGTGTAAAGATAAAACCACATCAAGGAATGTACTTCTGACACAAAGAGAGAAAAGATGGATGAATTCATGAAACGGGGATACAGACAGACTTGTTTTCTCATGAGATAAAGAGCATATATATCTGATACATAAAGACTAAAAAATTGCTACCAACCACGGACACATACAGAAAACTGAAACAGAAAGGTTTGCTCCTCTGGCTGCTAAAAAGGAAGAGGAAAATTAACCTACTTTACAAAGTGCTGAGCACACAGTACTAGATTTATCCAAATGTGATTATGCTCACAGACCCCTAGGCCTTACAAGACCCAGGAAGTTCTGCAAGAGGAAGTAAAATGTAGGGTAGGGCAGCAAGCAGAAGCAGGCTGGTTAGCTATGGTAGTAAGTGCCTCCACTGAGGAAGCATAGCCACTCTAATGAAAAATGAGCCAGACCATGTAAATATGATGCTGGGAAAGAAGAGTCATGGATTGGTTCAACCCAGCCCTAAGGCATGGAGTTCTGTACTCAATCTTTTTTTTTTTTTTTTAATGCTGAAATAACTTTGTCTTTTTTTTCCCTTATTATGCCCTCTTCCTTTCTTCCTGAATAATCCCTAACTCAGTGAGTACCAGAGCTGAAGAAGGAAAAGAGCAAGAGGACTCAGTTGAAATCACAGTCTATCTAGAAGAAATTCTGTCATGTTAGTATAAAACCACAACTCCTATATATTTTGAAATACTCTAACATTGCTGCTTCCTTTATTTATTGCCATAAGAAGGAAAAACAGTTTTCATACTCCAATTCTCATTGCCCAACTTCACCTTGTGTTTGAAACATATGGCACTCTCAGAACTCAGTCCTCCAAATGGCCAGAATTAGTAACTATCCTAAAATTTTGCAGTATTTGATCTCAGATTTCATATAAATCTTAAATATCTATCAGGTTTATAAGAGTGACTACTCACACATTCTACAGTGGATTTAGTTGCTTATTTGAAGACTAATGACCCAGCAATGAATATAGAAAGCTGTGGATTATGATGAAGTGGAATTCACTTGATTCAATGCTGACTGCCCATTTTATGTGTTTCAGCTATGTGGTTTAATCACAGTAAATAAGATTACCAGATTAACAGGTAAAATTATGGAGATTTGCTAACTAAATCTGAAGCCCTGAAAAAAAAACCCAAAAAAGTTCTGAAACTGACATTCCTTTAGTATGCTAAGAACACATTAAAGGCATCAAAGCACCTAAATTTTTTTTATTTCCTCAGTCTCAGTGTAATTATTAGGCTTTCATCACACTGGATGAGGCAGAAGAAACAAATGTTGTGGCATTTGTACATTTGGTTCACGCTGCATTTCTCCAATCAAAACACAGCACCTGAATGAGGGCAAAATTAACCCCACAAAGATGGTGTAGAGCATTTTTGGTGAACAAAGGATAATTTTAACATGGACTGATTGTTCACCTAATTTACATTACACTGGTTTTTTAATTAGACTAAAATGATATTGTCTTCACTATACACTAAAAATATTAAACTATAAAAAACTATACATATTAAAGCAAATGGCTATTATACTTCTTAAACTCACAAGTCTATTAACACTGATTGTGAATTATATTTCTTAATATATAAGCTGATTTTAAAACCAGTAAAATTATTTCTAAGTTAATAAATGGTCAAAGCCTATTTTACAATAACAGAGATACTTAAACCAGAAAACTGCAATATACCAGAACCAAAGTGCCTTAGGACAATCATCCTTTTTTTCTGTGGAAGTTTCTGTGAAATAATTCAATACTTTAAAAATTGAAGGTTACAAAAAGATTTCACTTCAACATTTGACTTCCAGATTTAAAACAACTTCTCATTACAGATGTTGCTAAAGCCAAAGTAGCAGGTTATGTGTCATCAGGTCTTAACAGTCACTTTGTTTTTTCTATAAAAAAGAAAAATACTTACACATCCACAAATAGTACATAATCTTTACTGTCTTCTGGAATTCTACAGGAATGTCTACAGAAAAGTCCTGGTAGAAACAAGGACCTACTGGAAAATTCTCAGGAAGAGGTGGCCAGTTATTTTTTCTACCTGTAAAACAGAAAAAATACAGCTTTATAATACAGCTTTAATCTCTGTATAGTAAGAAGAGATATGCATTTGGACTTGTCCAAATTGTTTTACGCATGAGTTTCAAAAGCATAGGGATAACTGGGGCTACCAAAACCCAAGAGTTTTATCAGCAATCCTCACACAATACTGAAAACAAACTTCAGAAATAAAATACAATGAAGTGCAGACAGATCAAAGAAAATACAATATTTTATCTATGTAAAAGACTAGGCAGGCATTTGACAGTTCCTATCAAGTAATGAGACAAGAGAATTCTTCACAAAATAAGCAGATATGGGCAGAAAAACAATTTCTCAGAGTACCCTGACTTCTAAATTTCCCTAAAGTCCCACCATACTCACACACTTTGTTGAACACAAAGACTGGGGACTGAAAAGCATTCTTCCTTCTCAGAATCCTGTTACTTTAACACCAGGCTATCTTTAACACTTCAAACTAGCTCCCAATACAATTTGCAGTCAAAGCTTTACCTGAAAGCCCAAAAGCCTCAAGAAAGACAGCTACTGAAATGGTCAAAACTACTTTTTTGTTACAAAAAGCATCATGGTATTTTGATACAGTTGTGTGACAGACTGAAGACGCCACAAAGGACACAGTATCAGCACCTGGATTTCCTGTATGCTGATCTGCATACAGGCTAGAGTATACACTCTGCCAAACACAAGTCATACCAAGCACAGACTCAGAGATGCAACTGAGATAATAACTGCAGCAAACCTTTACCACAGCATTTCAAATTCTGGATGCAAAAGATGCATCGATAACCACTTTCCAAAAGAGGAGCTGAACTAGAAACTCGCCTAAAGGCACCTTTATTTCCAATTCTGACAAGGTTTTGCTTGCAATTTCTATCTTCAACCACATCTTTACTAGCAGTTCATCTGACAAGAACAGAAAACTTGAAAAGCTTACATACTTGCATTATTTCTTATTTGTTTCCCCACTCAGAAAAGATGAAGCTGTCACAGAATCACACAGAACCACAGAATGTTAGGGTTTGGAAGGGACCTCGAAAGATCATCTAGTCCAACCCCCCTGCAAGAGCAGGACCACCTAGAGTAGGTCACACCGGGATGTCAGTTCTCTCCAAACAGATCGAAAGCACTGAGCATCCATTAAGTTTTCTGCCTCTTTTACTGAAATTTTTACCAAGCCTTTCAGAGCAGGGCACTGGCAGAGGAAGCATACAGAAGGTGATGAAGTAATATTAAAAAATACTTCGGGATTTCTTATGTGAAAAATAACTGATAATAATTCAGATCTTCATTCCACAGTATATGGTTATTTCTCTCAGGATTGATAGTTTCAAGACAGAGTTATGGACACATACAGGTATCTCATAATAATTCAAGTTACTATTTAAGAATTGTATTTCATGCGCTTTTCTGCTGCTGTGGTACAGGTTTCAAAATTTTCAACTAAGACCGAAAGACAGCTTGGTGAGATGGTTCGAGATCAAAAAACAAGTAGTCTTTTCTAAATACACTTTGGATACTCATATTCCAAGGTAGTATCTTGATAAGCAAAGCGCTAGCTCAGAGTTACTTCATTCAACACAAGTTACCACCTCAAGGCTTATTAACATAACTTCAACGGCATGCCTAAGCTACAAGGCAGACACTCCCAAACTAGCTTCATGCAAGCCCAGAAATGGATTTTCAGGCATGCCCAAATGAACTAGCTGAAATAGGAAGCAGCAAACCTTAATTAGCTCAAATGCAATGCTGCACAGGAGAATCCTTTAGATACTTCAAGGATTCTTCAAGCGCTTTGATGTGAACAACTGCAATCTAATAACAAATACACATTTTAGAAATATCCTGAGACATGCATGGGGTATCAGAGTTAGGTTCCCTAAGATACAGATGAACAAAACTGTCCCTAGAGCCTGGAAAAGTAATCAATCCAGACCATCAACGTTAAGTTACTAAAATTAAATGAAGTGCAATACATGGAGGAGGAAATGAAAAAACAACCAAAAACCCCCACCATTACCTGGGACAAGAAGTACAGAGATTTAATACAGATTGAAAAGAACAAACACGGAGAAAATAAAAATGGTTTAATGAAGGGACAATATCACCATGATTCTTTTTCTTAGAATAAAACCAGAAATTCCCCATTCCCAGATCCCAGCAAATGACTGCCACATGACTGCTCTCTGCAGCTCCCTGAGGGGGAAGTGGAGAGGGAGGTGCTGATCTCTTCTCCCTGGGACCCAGTAATACGGTGCGTGGGAATGTGCCAGAGGAGGTTCGGGCTTGACATTAGGAAAAGTTTCTTTACCGAGAGGGTGGTCAAAGGTTGGAACAGTCTTCCTAGAGAGGTGGTCAATGCCCTGAGCCCGTCAGGGTTTAAGAGGCATTTGGACAATGCCCTTAATACCGTGCTTTAACTTTTGGTCAGCCTGAAGTGGTCAGGCAGTTGGACTAGATGATCATGGTAGGTCCCCTCCAACTGAAAATATTCTATTCTGTTCTATAAAATTTCCCTGAGAATCTGAATTACTAAGCCTTTATGCAATCTGTAATTTTACCACTGCATATTCAAAAAAACCCAGCACATAGAAAAATAAAACAGTCAGAATTCTAGATACAAGTGAAAAGACCACACAAAGTCATCCTTGCACACAGTGTTTTGTTTTGGGACTTTTTCCTATCTTCAGTCTGAAGTTATTCCTTTTGAAAAAGCATATCCCACAGATCTACTTCTAGCAAAGTATCTTCAGTTAAGAGGATGCAAGTCTTCTCATTTGTGAAACTGCCATAAAAATCTGATGGTCTTGCACAACACAGAGCTTGTGGCAAGATGAGATACTGATCTTGACTATACGTTCCAAAGTGTCATATGAAAAATTAATAAAAGATTAACAACAGAATAGATCTTCCTGCTATTTGTGTAGAATATTATGCCCGTAACGTATCAAAAGACAAGAAAATGTTTCAAAACAGTAAAGTTCTCCTACAGCTATAGATACTGACGGAAGAGAATGTTAGTTATGAAGTTAGTTTTACTTCTTTTCAAAATGCTTCTTTCCTATTCAACACTATCACCAAGGAATTAACCTAGAATAAAAATAGCTGATAGCAGAGTGCAACATGTAACAGAGGTCACATTTAAAGTTTTTACAGTGAAAATCTACACGTCAGGCCAGTTTTTATTCACTGCATACATTGTCTCAAGGGAGATAAACTTTCTTTTTCTGAAGAAATTATAACACTCCCCCTTTGATCGGTTTCACAATGTCACTATAAAACTAAAACAGTTTCTAAGAAAAAATGAATTTTCTGCTATTTAAAGAAGTATTTTTTCATGCATACCCCCCTGCTGATTGAGACTCTGCATTTCCCTTTCTCTGCGATCTAGTTCAGCTGCTTTCCTTTCCAGTTCTTCTTGACGCTTTAGCAGTTCTGCCTGGGCCAAGGCATGCTCCTGAACAAAACAAGCACTGTTAGATACTGATAAAAAATATGAACACAAAACAAATATTCAAAGTCTGTTTTCTATAATTAAGCATCACCAGTTATGGATGAAGACTGACCTAATATCGCATGACTTCACACACTAACTGATTACTTAAAGGCAGTACAAATTTTCATAAATCATTAGGAAAACAATGCTTATTTATCAAAGACATTATTTCAGGAATGCGTCTAAATAACTACAATTAAAAGGAACCTAGTGCATGAAAGTTACAGACAAACCTTTGCAATTTGTGTGTAAGCAGGTGGTTCTTCTGTTGGCTTCATTATTGCTGGCTGGGTACTGGGTACATTAGGCATTTTCACATTTCCTGGAGGAGGCTAAGAAAACAAGAGATAATCATAGGGAAACAGTTTCCTATTCTAATAAACATCTTTTCATTAACGCTCTAAGAACCAATGTAGTGTTTTAAAGGAATTGATAAACTGAAAATCTGGTACGCTGCCTGCAATATTTAAAACCTTTAGGAAAAAGAATATTCTGTGATGCGGTGTTCTGCTTATTTGGTTTTACACTGCACTGCTTGCCATAAACACAGGGAATTTTAGGGATCAGTAGAAAGCAAATAGAATTTTAATTTTGTTCAGGCACAAATACAAGTAAGGACAGTTACTGTTTAAAAGAATTGCAGGATTTGACAGTGATCTATTCATATTCTGAAACACAGTGCCATTTATTAGTAATGTCTTCCGGAGCCTTCTGCTTAACAAAGGTTTTTATCACCCAGCTAACTAGAGAAGCAATGTACCATATTAAATTCTCCAATTCAAGACCCATAATCTACTGCTTCACTACTCCACCAGTATGTACCATAGTATCTAGTTTCAAGTACCACTGGCAATTCGTTCACTTGGTCACTAGCTATAAGAATATAGGTGACAAGAAGTTTGTTGTACCTCAGGTTTTTTCTTTCTTCTTTCCTTTTTTTTTTTGTTTTAAATCCTCTCCTCCTTATTCCCATTTGTCCTCTTCTCTGACTTTCTCCAAATCTCCCTATCATACACAATGTTAACCAGTAGCTAATGATAACTAAGGAAAAAACCAGGGCCTAGATTGAAGTTATCAACTGAACTTTACCCAAGCAGATCAGTATAGCATTACTATGATGTTATTTTATTCTTAAACTTGCTTGGGGGAAACTACAATTCTTTCTCTATGTAGAGCCTGCAACATAAAAGACTTCCTTGGTCTGTGATCTTGTAAGACAGAGAACCACTTCTTCCCAGTAAGACTGAAATCAAGAACAAAATTACTGTGAGAACTGTGATGTTTTCAACATGAAAGCACCTTTAAACAAAGCAGGAACCAAGGCAATACAACCAACCTGGCAAATTATGACTTGGCCCAGATTATCTGCATCTTTTCTAACCATCTTTTGAAATGCAGAAATGTAATACACTGAGGAGGAAACATCATGCCTGAGTACACTCTCCCCCTGTGTGTGATACTGCACTACATCTCAGCAACATCACCTGATCCCAACATTTCAAAATTATCTTTCCACCTTATACATCAGCTCTTAACACCATACTGAGATACCAGAGAGGTCTCATGTCTCAGAAATGCTTGGTGATTTAAGCTTTCCAAAGATTAGTCAGTACTGTAGGATGAAGACAATAGAAGGCCAAGCGCCTGGTCCTGCACTTGGGTCACAACAACCCCAGGCAGCGCTACAGGCTTGGGGAGGAGCGGCTGGAAAGCTGCCTGGCGGGAAAGGACCTGGGGGTGCTGGTCGACAGCCGGCTGAACAGGAGCCGGCAGTGTGCCCAGGTGGCCAAGAAGGCCAATAGCACCCTGGCCTGTATCAGCAATAGTGTGGCCAGCAGGAGCAGGGAGGTGATCGTGCCCCTGTGCTGGGCACTGGTGAGGCCGCACCTCGAATACTGTGTGCGGTTTTGGGCCCCTCACTGCAAGAAGGACATTGAGGTGCTGGAGCGTGTCCAGAGAAGGGCAATGAAGTGGGTGATGAGTCTGGAGAACAGGTCTGATGAGGAGCGGCTGAGGGAACTGGGGCTGTTCAGCCTGGAGAAGAGGAGGCTGAGGGGAGACCTCTACAACTGCCTGAAAGGAGGCTGTAGTGGGGTGGGTGTTGGTCTCTTCTCCCAAGTAACAAGTCACAGGACAAGAGGAAATGGCCCCAAGCTGTGCCAGGGGAGGTTTAGATTGGACATCAGGAGAAACTTCTTCACTGACAGGGTTATCAAGCACTGGAGAGGCTGCCCAAGGAACTGGTTGAGTCATGATCCCTGGTGCAGATGTGGTGGTACTTAGGGACATGGTTTAGTGGTGGGCTTGGCAGTGCTAGGTAAACAGTTAGACTTGATGATTTTAAGGGTGTTTTCAACATAAATGATTCTATGCTTCTATGAAGCTGGTTAAAGACGGTTAATACTGCTAATTCTTATGTTGGAGCATTCTGTGATAAGGAAAAAGGCCTGTATGAGAACTCCTACAAAAACTAGACAATCATTGAAAGTCTTACCATCTTCTGCTTCAAACATAAGACACAAAATCTGCACCACAGTAACAAAATGCTACTGAACAGAAACTCTTACGCATTATGCACTGTAGGCCAGAGCATTGCTACAAAAGCCAAAAAGAAAAGAGTCCCATTATTGTAGCTCTGTGGCTAAAGCAACAATATCTTTGAGAGCATAACTGATAAGCATGACTGCTCACAATCTCCAGCATGGACTCCAGCAGCCTGGACATAATACTGTAAAAAGTAATAGTAATATTTTTGTAATAGTGTAAAAAGGTGCATTGTCAGGCTAGAAAATATTTGAACAATGAGTTCAAAATATTTATCCTTGAAAGACACTTTGTCCAAATACCCTGCAGCGGCACTAATGAATGGAACATGCATATATGCTTACAATACAGGAACCAATCAAAAAGCTCACTGGAGCTATATAATCAAAGATGTTAGCCAACAGCATGTATGATAGATGACACTAATATAAGGTACAAATTATGTACAAGATTCTTCCAATTAATATTTCTACATTGTTTAGGTTCCACTATATGCTAGGTGGCCATCTATACGGTGTTAAGACTTGCTGTCTACTGTGCATGTAGCCATGTGTAAAAGACCCAGTGCTTAAGCAAAGGCCTGTGCTCCCTGGAAGAAATAAGATTACACCAGTGATCTGTAGCAGGTACCATGCATCCTGGAATCCTCAGACAGTCAAAGAGGGGCTGGGGGACAAAAGCTGTTAAAGGATGTCACAAAGGCTACCACTTCCAGCAGACTCTCAGACCTGGACTCCTCCCTTCCGACTGCCGGAGCCCAGTCTAGCGCACCCTGAGATCTTCTGAGGGCTCTCCATTTCAGTCCACTTGCCTTCCTGTTTCCAGGTTCAGCTAGTAGCAAGCTGAGTGCGTACCCCAGGGATGCGCACAAATACACACGCACCTGCACACATCAAGGACACAAGGATGGCCAGCTACACAAGCTGCCATAGGCAGGGCACTGCCTTTAACAACACCCCCACACAACACAATCAGAACTACTCAGAACATAGGTACATAGAGTCATACCCCTTTCCTCCTCTTCAGGTGATCAACACTGAAGTTCACTATTGAAAGCACATGCCTCACTCTAGAGTTACAAGCACACCAGCAGCTGCAGATCCCTCATATATAAGCAGTGGGCCCCTAGGCTGTCCGATACACCTGCCTAGATCTGGAGCTCTCTTACCTGGTATACAAGTTTCCTGCTGCTTGCCAGTTAGCCCAGCCTGATGTTCGCTAGAAGATTCATGCACTTGTACACTCATGTCACAAGCAATCTCCACACATGCAGCTCCCTCAAACACCAGCATGGGCTCTCAGCTTGCCATATATCCAGGCCCAGACCCCAGACTCCCTCACTCACTTGTGGCTCAGACTTTGAGTCTTCACAGAGAGAGGTCTTCCTCCTATTTGCCAGCTAATCAAGCTTGAAGTTTGCTAGTGAATTACACATACACACACACACAGGAAAACACTCTGGTCCCTTCAGCTGCTGGCCCCTCAAACACATGGGCCCTGTAACCCATGGTCCCTCCAGCGGCCAACACCACAGACATATGGCCCACTACTACTCAGGGTCTGACTATGTTGCTGGCACCCAAGTCTCTCATTCTAGTCTCTCCAGTTGCTGGCACCTAGACTTTGCAGCACTCACAGATAGAGTTGAGAGTGAAATGTCACAGAAAGATAATTAAGAAGGATTTAACAATAACTGCAATCAGTAGGCACATGGCTGTCAGACAAGTGCACTGACTGGCACCAACTTAGACGCAATTAGCCCCTTTTAATCCATCCTCTTCTTTAGTCTTCTCCTTGCTCCTTACCAGTCTCCAATTGTTCCACATCTTCAACTATTCCCCTAAATACTCCTCAATAAATATTGCATAGCCTCACAGGCTCCCCTCAACTATCCACAGCATTCACGCTTACATTGTTTCTTCCATCTTACCAGTTCAAAAGTCCAGGCTGACACTCCTCAAAGCCCATAGCTTAGTGGCTGAAGAGTTTTTGGTCTTCGTTTTGTCTCTGTTACCACTTATCTATCAGGTTTGTGTTTCTGCCTTTGTTTATTGCTTTCCCTTTTACTTATTACTCCATTTAAACTGAAAAAAAAAGTCTATAATGTTAACGAAACAGATGCTTTCACATTCTACAGATCCTTACAGAAACCAGTATGACTGACCTGAGTATTCGGACCATCATGGAGGTTTGCAACTGGAACACTACCATGACTTTTACATGGACGGTACATGATTAAGAACCACGTATACCTTTGGCTACTCTGTAATAATATGACTGGGATTATGATCTTTCTTCAGAACTTGGCCCCTCAAAAACCATACAGCCGTATCACTGTAGTTAACACGAAAAAGAACACTCCAGCCTTATTATCTCAAGCACTGCAGTGCAAGCAAAGAGCTGCCCTGATTCTCATGTTGTTACAACTGTGTGCTACAGTCCATTACTTAACGTAGGAATGACGCAGCAGTCAAGGCAACTTCCATGTCTGTTCAAAGGTTAAAGCCCCTGACTATGTAGGGGTCTGCTAAAAAAGCAACAAAATAAACCCTAAACAAACAAAAAAATCCAAACAACCAACAGAAAAAAATTATGATTAGTAGACTTTTCCATGACACCCCCACCACCACTTGCCCAGTAAAAAACTTCTACCTTCTAGCCTCTTAATTTCTTGAATCCTTTTAACGGCTTTTCCTACAGTGAGTGTGACAGCTGTCACTTTTCCTTCCTCTGGTGTGAAGCCTGCTGAGGTACATTCCCGTTCACGCTACTGTCCATCTTA